ATCACGAATAAGAATGGCGCTCGATCAATCACACGATTGAGAGCAAGTCATGTGATGGGTGTCCCACCCTACCACACCGGCCCTGCGACAAAATTAGAAAACAAAACTAAAACAAAAACGACAGCTGCAGGATTTGAACCTGCGCGGGAAGATCCCATATGATTTCTAGTCATACCCATTAACCACTCTGGCAAGCTGTCACGTGCAAAGCTTAAAATATGACCAATTACTTGTCTGTTGTGGTAGACATCATGTCGCTCTAGCCCACTAGACTGGCGCCGCGTTCCATTGTTCATACAATTGCATTCCGTTGCGTGTTTATACTTTAGTGTTTTGCAGTTGGTCTCGGCTTTGTTTGGAAGCGCTGTGTTGCTTTTCGCGAATTTCGGTGGCAAGCACACTCGTGGCCTTTGAGCTTCACTCATCTCGCATTGTTCGGCTAACCCACATCCATTCTTGGTCCATTGAGTAGTGCACCATGGCACTAAACTGTGTTATGCTGGACCTGAATACAAACCGTCCAATCCCATTACCTCGAGAAAAATTTATCAGCGATTGGACCCGTGTGTCCCTGCACGTCGAACTTGGAAAGTAAGTACACCTGGTGGCTAGGTAGGACAATGTGCATGCGTTTGGGGCACTAATGCGACATCTTGCCAACAAAAGGTATGAGTAGATGCTAACAGCAGACATAGTATTTGGGAAATTTTATAACTTGTGTGCTTTTGGCTTTATGTTATTACGGCTGTAGTGGGTACCCTGGAACAAGGTGAGTTGGCATCGGCAAGCGAGCAGCAACGCATGCTCTGGCCCGAAAAAATACATGGCTGGCATTGAGCTCAGGCCACAACAGTGCTCTACAATTGTTGCTCTCTCTGTGAGTACTCGCTAATCTCTTTCCCTCCTCTGCCCTATATTTGTTGTCAACTCTTACACCATTGACGTGCGATAAACGGGAACGTCACAGCCAAACACACCGGTCGCCGTCGGGTCAACTGTACGTGACGAACCAAAGGGTCATTTACCTCTGCGATGCCAACACCGGCAACTTTACCAGTTTTAGCATTCCTCTCGGTCATGTGCGGCAAGGCCGCTTTGTCCAGCCATGGTTTGGTGCCAATGCGTTTCATTGCGTCGTGGAACCTGTACCCAACGGTGGACTTTCTGGTTCCGGAGACACCAAAATTACGTTCAAGGATGGGGGTGGCGTCGAGTTTCTTAATACGCTGCGCGCCGCTCAAGAGCGACTGGCCGTTGAAGCCGCTATAGGTGGCGAAGCTGAACCTTTGCCTCGGTATGCGCCACCGACAAACGATGGCGAACAATCAAGCGCTATGTCCAATCGACCACCTTTAGCGTCGTATGGTCATCCCATTAGCACTGGGGATGTTTCGAGCAGCAGCTACAGTGGTGGCGACCCCAATGCGCCGCCATCATATGATGACACGGTGCGCGATATGGCCCGGCAGTTTCAGGACCGCTGACCATGGGCCCTATCACGCCAGCGTATTGCTGGGTTGTTAGCTATACCATGTATTTTTTACGGGATGTTTGAAAGCAGTAGTGGTTTGTATATTGCGTCTGGCAAAACTTAAGCGAGCTCCTGTCAAAAGTATAGAGCGTATACCGTGGTAGGTTTGGGTGGTTTAGTTTCAAGTATAAAGACAGTACAGTGAATTCTTTCATCCTTCTCTTTTTTTGTAAGGATTTCCATCTTGATAGCATATACCTGGCCTACACACCAAACCTTTGACTTTTTTTACCGCTCGCATTAGTGTTGGCCATTCCACACCATTGGCTGGGATAAACTCCCCACCCCCAGGGACAACTGGGTCCCCGCCACAACAAAATGCTGGCAACTGGCCGTTCAGTACATATTACTGTTTATGTGAACCGTTTGCTAATTCAAGCAGCCTTCCTACACATATCGGTTGAGCCAGATCACCGCGAAAAAAATAGCTACCAAAACGGCTTTAGTTCTCTTCACATCTTGTTTTAAATGCGGCGGATAGGAGCTTTGGTGACGATTGGTTTAAATCGCCGGCCTCGTCGCGCGTGAGGCCGTAGGAAATTCGGTCGCCCTCGGCGAGCCGTAGCTCTGCTTACACCGAATGGATTCGTCCGTCTGGGGTCGTGGGCGGGCAGTCCATTTTGTTCCGGTGGCAACGACGGCGACAACGGAGACCAGGTCGTGGGCGTCGTTGACGTTACGGATTGCGGTGACCACGGAGGTAGTGCAGTCAAGTGCCTTGGTGCAATGGGTTTAACCATGGGGTTCACTGAACAATTGGGACCAAGGCCTGGCAAGGCAGCGCAATAAGGCGTGGGCGGTGTATGGCGCGTGTTGGGGGTGGCAAGGTACGCTGGTGCCGGTGTTGGCCTAACCTCGGACTCGCCATTGGTGACCAGAGAGTGAGTGGGAGGACCAGGCGGCAAATAAGTCGCTACAGGCTGATTAAAAATGGGCGAGGACTCTGCTACCGTTCGCCCAGTGTGCGAGCGATCGTGCCTCCTGCGGTTTGCAGAGCTTCGGGTGTTGTAAGATGGCGCGTCGGAAAACGATGGCGGCAGGATTCGCCCCGACGAAGCTGTGGCAAGCGCTGACTGGCTGTTATTTTTGGGCGAGCATGTGCAAGCAAGGTTTCCAGTGCCTGTTTGATATCCCGTGGCTCCAAGGCTTTCCGGGAGTGAACGAAGCGGGCTCGGCGGATTGGAAGCGGCATGCATGCGAAGTGGGGGAAAAGTCACATCGCTGCTGGCGGGCTGCCTGGACTCAGTCCACATCGAAGACTGCACTTTAACAAGAACCGTCACCCGTAGTGGCGCATCGCAGTCCAATATAAGCAGCATTGTTTCCCATCTCATACAAAAAGTGCAACCAAATATCAGCAATGCATAAATAAAAGAAGGAAGGAACCAGGTGTTTCTTCTGGAGAAATGCTCATGCGGCACCATGCCATGAGCTTGCGTGGTATTCAGTGCTGATGGCGGATTTCAAGCACAGCACAGCTTGGTGCCTGCATGAACAATCTCAATCCGTCAGCATGTTCTGGTCAGGAAAACTGCAAGGAAAATGGAACAGGGCAAATATTAAGGGGGGAGTGCTGACAACCATGAACGGCCACAAAAAATACATAAACTCGTAAACTATACAAGTGTTTGCACGCCACAGCACCCAATATCAGAGCGTCGAGTATCACAAAGTGGAAGCTTGCAGCATCGAGCCAAATCACTTTGATTCGTCCGAAAACAAGTGTTTATATGTTACCTGATGAGGGCGAATGCGGCATGATTGGCGAAGACGAAAACGAAGTAGTGGGCGATGACAGCGATGAGGACTGAGGCGTATCCGCTGGCCGCCACCACGCTGTTTCCGAAACCGACCCAAACGGCATTGGAATTAAGGGGTTGGTCGGGCTGGGGTTAATGGCTATTGGTGGCAGGGTAGGTCGCGTCGTGGCACAGGTCGGGGCACTTGGTAAGCCAAAGGCATCGTCGTACGCCGCTTGATCGATTACTGGAAGCAAGGGTTGAGTTGCGCCTAGCGTGATGGACGTGGGGCGCATGGTGGGTGGGAGCACAGGTTCCGACGGCGCCGTTGATTCGTCTGAATCGCTCAGGGTTAAATCGATAATCTGCACTCGCGCTGCTTTGCTGCCTCGCTGCGGGGTTCCATGGTTGGGGGATGACTCGTGGGTTTTCCGCTTGGAAGGCGTAGAAACACTGGGACCATCGTCGTTGGTCAGGTCCAAGGACTTGATCTCCATATCGCCATTTTCGGCTTCGCCGGTACCAATGGCCACTGTTTCTGTGGCAGTGGGCAGTTGCCATTTGAAATCATTATCCACATACACCTGAGATTCGCTGGTGGGTATCTTTTTGATAATGTCTTGCGAGTAGCCGTCAATCATTAGGCCATCAAAGTCCGCTGGCTGGCTGCATATGGGGCACATCCACGTGGGCGTTAACTCGTTCATTTGCAGATAGGATTTGGCGTCAAAGCACTGCAGATGGTTGCAACGGCTAGAGCGACAGGGGTGCTCGATGCGGATATACGAAAGCTAAACGCAGGAACCAACACACATACCAATGTGTTCCATCATGTCGAAACGCGTGCCATTTTCTAGAGTGTGAGTAATCCAGTTGCCTATGATTTTCTAAAGAGCTGGTGGTGAAACCGATGGTGGCCGATATACAATGCAGCGTTGGCTTCCCACTGAGTCCACAATATTAAAGTGCCTAGGCCAGCCAAAACTTACCGGGCAAGTGAGTGAAAGGACATTGGTGGTGGCGCTGATTTCATCATCGCCATCCTTGCTTTGCACTAGAAACCATAAAATGCATGAGAAAAATTGACCATTAAGAATAGCACAACGCCGCAATCAACCAAAGTGCGTGTTGCAGTCAGCCAAAAGTGTGTGCTATGGTTTTTGCTGGCTTGGTTCAGCACAAAAACAAGAGATTAAAAAACCGGTCTGAATATTTGCCCACCCCACTTACACTGCTCCACGATTTGGTCTTTAGCGACAAACCGGTCCCGGCAGAGCTGGTCCAATAGCTCCTCAACGGTGAACTTTTGAATGCCCACCACTACGGCCACCATTTTCTAGCAATGGCCATCATACCTCCTTATCAACAACAACAACAGTGCGTTAGCTAGTAGCAGAATATGTCACAACGTAACCCTGTATGGCATCAGTTTGCCACATTTTCCAGTACTTGGCCCATTGATCCAAAGTATGGGTAAATCTGTTGGCTATAGCCAGCAGGCTTTAGGCATACAAAAGTTTAACAAGGTTACCTTTGATGCAGTATATGCAAAGTCCAGCCAGTGGTCAAGCACGTTTGGGTGGAGAAACGACGTGAGGTCTATGGGCTTAGTATGCTTTGACTTGAGACTATAGCGAACGACGAAGTTCTACCGGCCGCATGAGCCGCCACACCGTGCACAGCAATGATTCAGGGCAATATAACGTATCAGGATGAGCCAGTGAAGTATACAAGCACCACATCTCATACACCTAGCGAGCAGTGCAGACTGAAGCCAAAAAATTGGGGACAAAGAAAAAAAATGCACAAAGGTAACGTACCTGCTCAATGTACCTGCCATCCACTTTGGCCGAGTGCAGCCGTGGGTATTCTACAGTTACTCCAGGGCTGTTGGGCTGGTAGGACAGCAAGGCGTTTTCAGACGATGTGA